TTTATTTTGCAAATGTTCGATCCACTCGTCAGAGGTTTTCAGCTTTTGACTACCAATTTTTTTCTCATTTCCCTTATTTTTATATTAAGTTAAAAAAATAATTATGTGCTTTTTATTGGTGTTAGATTGTTTTTTTTTTCCTTTTTTTTGTGTATGTGTGTGTACGTGCACGTGTGTGTATGTGTGTGTACGTGTCTGTATATGCGCATGCGTAGAATGTCTTTGTTAATTCTCTTTTTCATCATGTTTATATATATAATAATTTACAATAATATCAAAATCCGTTATTCAGAGTTGCCGGACCAAATATTTTACCCGCCTGTTGTGTTGATTGGGTTGCCACATGAAACTTTTTGTAGCAGATTTTCATATTCATTATAATAATATTATTATTATTATACATTATATGCAATCTCTGTCGACTTTGGCATTGAACTCTTTGTTTATTTTATATTTTAAACTTTTAACATTATTTAAGCTTGGGTTATTATTTTATTTCCTGGTTGCAGAAAAGGCAGTGTTTCAGATATTTTAACACATGACTTTTATATTTTCTTTATTTTTTAAAGTATATTGTTTTTTTTTTATTGAGCCATTCTATTGGCGAATATCATTTTTAGCCAAAGACTGAATTTATAATTATATATAGAGAGATCGAGTTTGGATAGGAATCCGATAAAACGATAGAATAAAGAACAAGTCGGAAACAGATCTTAATCTAACATGTTTCATTTTGTTAAAGTTTCATCAGACACGTATTTAACCAATAAAAAATAGTCAAACACACCATACATTTAATCTGCATCTCTTTGCATTTTATCATTTTATATCATTTCCATCTTGATCTCAGGCAAAGTTTTAATAAAGGGGGACACGTTAGATTAAGATCTGTTTCCTACTTGTTCTTTATCGTATCATGAATTGGATTGGTGCATAATTATCAGGCGTTTTTTAAACTATCATGAAAAAAGAAACATAACAATTTCACAATAACATTTTTCAGTGATTATTCTGGACTATGATTATCGATACATATGTTTATAACCTGAAATAAAAATTTTTTATTAAAAATGTAAACAAAACAAGAATTTTTATTATCAAATAACTCGCTTACAAAAAAAACGCCTGATAATTATGCACCAACCCAACACACACACACACACACATATATATATATATATATATATATATATATATATATATATATATATATATATATATAATGAATTTTTATATATATATATTATCCTATTTGTGTGTATATATGTGTGTGTGCCTGTGTTTAATGGAGATAATATATGTATGTAAAAAGGTTTCTGAACATATATATATATATATATATATATATATATATATATATATATATATATATATATAAAGAAAGAAGAGTAAGTTATATAATCCAGTATTCTTACTGATATTTTTTTTTTTTTTTATTTTTTATTTTTACAAAATAGTGCTCAATGTAAATTTACAGAGCATAAATATTATAAATTAACTGATTTAAAATATGTTTTTTTCCCTACACAGTAATAACCATGCTTCAAAACCTGAAGCTAAAAACTTCAAATTTAATTATATAATTAAATTAAAAGCATTAGTTCCGTTTCATCTTCAAGTGAATATTGGATTATCTTATTTTTAAATTTACTGAGTTTTAAGCGCACATATAAATTTATAATTTCCTGTTTCCAAGGATACAGAGAAATCCAATCATTCAGACAGGGGCGGTAGCGTGTTCATTTTTATTAACTATTGTTGTATCAATTATGAGTTACGTTCGAAAAAGAGGCTAAGTTTAGGGAGGGCAGGGGTGTATTTTTCAACGAATTCTGACATCCGTTAAATGCATGTCGTCTGTTAATTTTTTTGTTTTTGTTTTTATGAACGGCAAAATGTTTTTCGACATTTTTTTCGTACTTATATACTTAAAGATTCTTTCTAGGGGTGTTTGGGTTAGATTAAGTTTTCTTTAACTACAATTTTAAAATATTTTTGCTCTTAATTAGTAATAGACTATATTTCTTTTTAAATCAAGTAAATGTAATAGAATTACTTAAATTATTTAAAAATTATTTTTTCATATCAAATATAAGTATGTATATTACCAGCTCCCATTTTTTAAAAATATTATTCAAGGAAAGTTTTTGACAATGACAAAAAAGAATAGCTATTTCATTTCTTTGATTCATTAATTTTTTATTTTTTATAAACTTAGTAATATATAATTTTTCAAATATATATATATATATATATATATATATATATATATATATATATATACCACTCACCCATTATACGGCTTACCGAAAACGCACAAAGCCAACGGAATAACAGTGCATCCTGCAAATTAGCTAAAGCTATTGCAAAAGACCTAACACCGTTCCTAGGACCCATCAACACAACATATATCATACACTCTGATCACTTAATCCAGAGAATACGAAACCTAAATATCGAAAACATGGTTGTAGCGTGCTTAGTCATCAGATCTTTATCCGCTAATATACCCGTCACAAAATGCCTAAACCTACTGAGAAAGCACCTCAAAAAATTCAAAGAAAAGATTCCTCTACCCGTTCACAAAATTATCAAACTATGCAAACTACCGTATTTAGCGGCATATAAGACGCATGGGTGTATAAGACGAACGTGTGTATAAGACGCATGGCTGTATAAGACGCATGGCTGTATAAGACGCATGGTTGTATAAGACGCATGGCTGTATAAGACGCACGGGTGTATAAGACGCACGGTTGTATAAGACGCACGCCAATTTCAGTAGGGAAAATCAAGAAAAAATTCGCAGTTAGTAAAATTATTAGTAAATGGTACAGCCTAGCCTATATTTATGAGGTATTATTTTGGTTAAATAAGCTATGATTACAATTAATCGAAAAATAATAGGAAAAAAGAAGATGAGCCTATAAAAACTTTATTATATCCAAAGGTAAGAAAACAAAATAAAAATCAAGCAATTAATTCAACTGGGCAAAACAGTATAGTTACCATTAAAATTTTATTCATCTTTAAATCCATAAAATTCGTCGTCTTCAGTATCAAAACTCTGATGGTCATTTTCAATACTACTATCATCGTCGTTAAAAAATGCGTCATCTTCCGTTCCATTGAGAGCATTGCTAATGTCACATTTTTTAAAGATTTCACAACAATTTCTGGTCTAATATTATCCCAATCTTGCTTCACCCATTCGCAGACTTGTGCAATGCTGGGTCTTTTTATTCTTCCTGTAAGTGTATGGTCGTGATCTGGTATTGCCATCCACGTGTTCCATTGCTCCTGCGTCTAAGCTAATAGGAGTTGCCAGGAAGCTAATTTCGACCGACTATCGCGAATTTAAACCTACATATGGCATATAAAACGCAGGGGAATTGTAAAAGATATTTTTATTAAAAAAGATGTGCGACTTATATGCCATCAAATACGGTAATTAAATCTTCGTTGTCGGTCGTTTTCAATGAAAAATACCGGAAAGAATGGTTGCTACTCAAATATGCATTATCTATCTATCTATCTATCTATCTATCTATCTATCTATCTATCTATCTATCTATCTGTGTGTGTGTGTGTGTTTGATAGATATATTTATACATAATCACTACTTCTCTTTCAGTAATATTTTCTGTAAGCAAAAATTCGGCTTACCTATGGGGTCACCTCTCAGTGGTATTCTTGCTTGCCATTTTCTAGAGTTTTAGAATTCAGTTCATTTAAACACATATCAAAAAGGTCTACTTAAGATATATAGATAACGTTCTTTTATTATATCCTATATAAATCTATTAGACATAATAAGAAACTCAATAAGTTTGAACCTACCATTGAATTCAAACAGGAATTTAAAATAAACAATTCTTTGCCCTTCTTCGACATCTTATTAATAGGCAACAATGAGAAATTAGATCATAAAGTTTATCATATACCTACAAACACAAAAAACGAACTAATCAACTTCTATTCCCATGGCAATCAAAGAATAAAATCTGGACGAGTCATAAGATTCTACCTCAGTTTAAAAATCAGGAGGTTAATTAAAATACGCGACCATGGTTTCGACCTGACGGTTTCTTCGGGCGATACTTTTAAAATGACCGCTTTAACGCTTTATTTAAAAAAAACCACAAAGAATTGAAAGGTAGGACATTGAGTGTAATGGAAAGGAAGGGGAAAAGAAGGTTGAAAAAAAAAAGAAAAGAAAAGAATAGAAAGGAACGGAAATGAAAGTGTCTTGTAGATGTATACACTAAAGAAGGAAAGCAAATATGTAACTTAATTGTTATGGAGGATGGGGGGCTAGCGTGTCTAAAGAGCAACTGTGAGGTTTTGAATAGGATTTTTTTAACCGGTTTCATATTCACTTAAGCATTTTTTATGTGAGGACACGAGCTTAAAATTTCGGATCTGGGAATGTCAGAATTGTTAATTTCTCATATTGGAATAGTTTGCAAATGCGGTTATAATTGTTATATGTTTTTACCTTATATATAAGCTTACGGTTCTCGTATGCTCACCAAGGTTAAGCAATGTCAAGCCCGATCAGGGCCTAGATGGGTGACTGCTTGGGAATACCAGATGCTGTCAACTGGGATGTGCGGATGGTGTAGAATTGAAAATCGGTGAGCCTAGTTCCATTTTCTGTCGTGTTCTCATATTCTCTTACGCGCAAAGATAATTGGGAAAGATATTAATCAACTTCAACTCCCAGCTATGGGTTAATTTCTAAGACTTGTATCAGTAAATATTTATTATCTCCCCCGAAATTCTTAAACCTAAAAATATTTTCTGGCTTTAAATAACCTGCAAATGTTTGATAAGTCGTAAAAAGAAATAAACCAACACACACACACACACACACGCACACACACACACACACATATATATATATATATATATATATGTATGTTCAAATTTTTGAAAGGGTGTTGAAGGGAGACATAGGTTGATCAGACGTAAAGTTAACAGGAAAAAAATTAAAACATATTTTTTTTAATTTTTTATATTCAGAAAGGGGTCAGTAGACAAAATTAAAAATGTGCAACATCTGTATATTAATAATACTAACTGGATGGCAATACATAGCAATATTAAACCTGAACAAGCAAAATGAGGTACTTAGCCATAGAAGGTGGACCATTATATACTCATAAATTATAGCTATAAACAATACTAATACATAATATATATATATATATATATATATATATATATATATATATATATATATATATATATATATATGTGTGTGTGTGTTTTGTGTGTGTGTGTGTGTGTTTTTGTGTGTGTATGCAGAAATACAGAAATGTTTCGGCCAGACATGGTAGAGGATTTCGATATATATATATATATGTATGTATACAGGATGAGATGGTTAAATTGTCGCAATTTATATTTTTAATTTCGAGCTTTCTTTGTTTTTGATTTTGTCCAATGCACAGTATAGTAGGGTCAGTTGCTGTACTGCTTGGCATTCCTTCCGGAAGCTCCAATACGAACATCTCAGAGTGTTTGGGTGTCAATCTGAAGACAGCGCAAAGGATTCGAAAAGAGTTGGATGAGTCTAAGTAGTTTGAACTGATCACTTGTGATGGCGACGTTATGCATCTATTCATCTCAGACTCAAGGACTTAAACTCAACACGGAGGCCTATATCAAGTGCCTTCAGGATGTAGTGCTGTCCTAGGTCAAGAAAATGGCTGCTGGAAGACCATATGTCTGGCAACAAGACTCTGCACTATCCCACACAAACAGGCGAACTCAGTCCTGATTGTCAGAAATTCTTGCGACCACAATGTCCCTTACATCTGTCCACCAGACTCCCCAGACTGCAATCCCCTTGATCATTATGTGTGGGTTGCAGGTGAGCGAAAAAGAAAAAAAAAAAAAAACTCCTTGTAACGCCAAAGATGAAACGAGGGCAAGGATTATGACAGCATTCACCGACTTAAACAAGGAGACTGTCCAGAAGAGATGCAGGAGATTCCGAAGCCTTTTGGCGGCCATTTTATTGAATAAATTTACTATTTTAGTATTAAAGATATTTTGGTAAGCATACCTGTAAAAATGAAATGTTAGTGTTATTTTTATTTTGCGTCATTAAGACGACAATTTATCCATCACACCCTGCATATATATATATATATATATATATATATATATATATATATATATAGAGAGAGAGAGAGAGAGAGATTTCTTTTATTTTTTAAGCAAATCGCCCCAAGCAAGGTACTACTTGTACGCAAGTGTTTACAGAGAGTGTCAGAGTTAGTGTAAAGAGGTGTGTTTGGGAAAAGGATAAAGAGAAGGACAGGGATCATGGTCAAGGCATCAGAAGATGCCGATTGACATTAGATTTGAATATTTGAAGATTATAGCTATCAGGGAAGCAAGTGCTAGGAAGGGAGTTCCACTGACGGGAGAAGCTGTTGGATTAGAAGAGATGGCTACATGTAGCCGTTGAGACCTAGATGCCAACCAAGTAGCACGCTTAAATTCATGCAGTTTGGGGACCAGTGAAAGTAGGTCATCGGAGCAGTTGCCGCGAAAGTATTTGTAGAAAAGACAGAGGGAAGCCACAGCATGACAGTGAGATAGCGACATGTCTGTGTGTGTGTATATGTAGGGTACCTCGAGACGGGGTAATGGCTAGCAAGCTTGTCTCACTAGAACAATTACGACGGAATAGTGATTTCGGTCCTCATTGGGTGCCCTATACTTTCGGTCTTGTGCCACATCTAAGCTACGCTTGAAAAATCACCATCTGTGTGCGTGTGTGTACTTATAATGTAAATGTATTCAAATATCTTTAGTATGACACAAGGACACATGAAAAAGGCTTTCTGTGATACAGTGTCCACTTAATTAAGAAAGTCGTTTTTAAAGGAATTATTTGTAAAAAAGAATCCTAATTTGTGTTCATTCTTAAAAAAAGGATCGCTTTATATTATTTTGTATTTATTTATTATTTCGTTAAAAAAAATCTCCATTTTTTTAATTTGTAATTCAACGGTAATACTTCATCCTAATTCATATATATACATATCTTGCAAAATGTAAAATATTATGCATATTTATATACATATATATACATATATATATATATATATATATATATATATATATATATACATATATATGTTAAGAAATGTACATAATATCTTATATAAGAAATATACGTCATATCTTACATAATGTAAGCTATAATGTATATATTTCTTATATATATATTAATTAGCTCTGTTACTTAACACTGAGCACTGTTTTTCTTACACTATAGAGTATTTATATGTATTTGTATACGATCGCTATATCGTATACCTACTTATATTTAACCATTAGGTTATATTATATATATATATATATATATATATATATATATATATATATATGCATTTATATATATGTGTATAATTTAAGCTTTAGCTTATATTTCACATTTTTTTGTGTATGTTTTAAAGAGATAATATGTATTTATAGGTATGTAAAAGGTTTGTTTTTTATTATATATATATATATATATATATATATATATAAAGGTTTCGAACATTATATATATATATATATATATATATATATATATATATATATATATATATATATATATATATTGATTGATTAAAGACAAATGAATGTTCTTTGTTAAGGATTAAATTTCTTTTTTTTCAGATTCCGGATTATTTTCTTGGTTATGAAATATAGGAAAACAAAAACAAACACTAACAAAGAATATTCATTGATCTTTAATCAAACTTCTATAAATTATATATATATATGTGTGACTGTCTGTGTGGTGTGTGCGTGCATACACACACACACACACATATATATATATATATATATATATATATATATGTGTGTGTATGTGCATACACACACACACACAGAGATATATATATATATATATATATATATATATATATATATATATATATATATATATATATATATATATATAATTCATTCTGTACTTTCTTGGTTCTTTTTTCTTCCCATTGACATTATTTTTCTATTAATCTTCATGCATTTATCTCTTCCCTCTTTTTTTTTTCAATCTCTCTCTTTTTACATTTTTTCATTTTTTCAGTCTTAATATTTGTTTCTTTCCTTCTGACTTCGTTTGTGTCTTCGTTTTTCATTGCCACTTTCATTCTCCCGTTTATTTTTCCCTTCCATTATTTTCTGTTCGAAGCACCTTCTTTTCTTTCCTTTTTTTCCTTTTCATTTTTCCCTGTCCTCAATTTCTTTTTTTTTTTCTTTTGCCTCCACCCCCCCCCGCAATTCTTCTCCCTGCGTTTTTTTTTTCCCAGCCCGATAATTAATTCATTCATTTGCTCCCTTTTCCCCACTGTTTTTTTTCTCAATGTAATTAAATTTTGCTTCGTTCGTTCTTTTTTTTTTTTTTTTTGTGTTTGTTCCCGTCCCCTTTGTTTTTCATTCATCTCCTCCATCACGAATCAACATCTACATCCATTGTTTTTCTCTCACTGGAATCTGAACTCCGATCGAGTTGTCATTATGCAACTTTATATGCAGCTGAAGAACGGGCATCATTTTATTTCAAGTGCAGCAAAGACAAATACCACAAACATGCGCTTTCGTTTGCTCGTTCGCACATGCGCAGTAGTCGGTTGTCTCAGACTGCTAATAATAAACGCGCGAGAATGCAGATGCCTCTTTAGGCAGCGCACGACTCAATTTCACGAACAACACTCATAGAATGACGTCTATGTTTATATATAAACACTTATCAAAGGCAAGCAAAAAAAAAAAACAACAAAAAAAACCCAAACAAACATACAAAAAACATCCCCTAATACTCCAAAAAACAAACAAGTAAAAAAAAAATCCCCAAAATCTCTTATTTAACAAGTATTGCTTGAGTATTTTAAAAAATATAACACAGATTTAGTTTTTAGAATAAACACTGCAATGTATTAAACAAGAAGTTTCGATTTAATCGAAGAATTCTCGTCAGATTTATTTGACGTGTATTTTAAACGAGTTCGAGATATTTCTTATAGTTTGGTTGATTGTATATGTAATTGCATAATTTTGTATGAACTACGTCGTTAGAACAATGGAATGTATCAAATAAGAAATTTCGATTTAAGCGAACAATTCTCGTCAGATTTATTTGACGTGTAGTTTAAACGAGTTCGAAATATTTCTTGTAGTTTGGTTGATTGAATATGTCAATCCTCATAATTGCATGATTTTGTATGGGCTACGTCGTTACTCTGACTTGCTTCGCTTATCTGAAAACACGCCAAGGCACTTGAAAAGGATTTTGCTATAAAATGCATTAAAAGGGATTAACAATGAAATATGTATTGCCAATGATAGAGTAATGAAAATGCATTGGAAATGATTTTGGAAATAAAAAATTATGAATGATTTCACTATTAAAATTCATTGGAAATGGTTTTACAATGTAAATACATTGCCAATGATTTTATTGTTAAAATGCATTGGATGTGACTTTGCAATGAAAATACATTGGCAATGATTCCACAATAAAAGTGCATGGCCAGTCAGACAACATTCGCAACATAATCGTTGATAATAGAAATATAATAGCCTCATCCACATACAAAAAAAAACCCCTAAAAATAATGGAAGCATTATTAATAAAAAGAAAAAACCAACACTCAATAACATCAACTATGAACATGGTCACAATGTGCTGACCGTGCTCGGAAAATAAAAAAATCTATCGGAAAATAAAAAAAATCTATAATTATAATACATATATAAAATATATATATATTATATATATATATATATATATATATATGTGTGTGTGAGTGTGTCCTGGAAAAAATGAGGACAAATGAAGTATAATTCCACTGCACGTTACATTTGATTTTAAAGATGGCTCAATACAGAGTAGAGCTAAATATTATTTATTTTAGGATATTAAAACATGTTAAAATTCGCTCGAGGAGACACATTTGTAGTGTTGAAAAATAATTGTCATTAT